TGAACCAAGGACCTCTCGATCTGCAGTCGAATGCTCTACCACTGAGCTATACCCCCGCGCTTCAGAGTTTTAGTTACACTCAAGTCGATGATAATATTTACGCGGTTAAGTGTTGTTTGCAGTGTCTTTTTGAGTTTTGGGGTTCCTAACAGGTTGCGAGGTCCTGAGCAGGGATATTTGCGACATTAGCAAACGACTATATTCGTTAGAGAGCTCACAGCTTGTCGGAAAAGCTTCTGAGAATCGGGCCTTAGGCAAGAGCCGATCAAAAAGATTTTGAGTGTTCAAATACTCCTTGAAAGACTGATCAGATGATTACAGAGCCCTTGTCGCATCCACCGGACGGAAGTTTTTACCTGCTTTAGTAAGGTGCCCTTAATTCAAAGGAGGGGCACAACTTTTTTTCTCAATGAATCATACATGGTTGAATAGAGTTTGTCGCGTTGATTCAGAATATATGTGTTTCATCTATTAAAAAACCTTCTGTGAAGAAAAATGGTGAAAAACTGAAAAATTGGCTTTGAACGAAAACCCCTTTTCGTCCAAATGAAATCGATATTCCAAAGTTATATGAGGTCGTATAACTTTCTGTTTTTTCTTCGTATTCAGTGTGAAAAACTAAATCAGAAAATGTCATTTAGACAGTGTTCGGATGCCACCGAGACACCAGTTCTTCTACTGATGTGTATTTGTGTCCTATCCGACTATTTTAGCTTTTCTCGAATTTTCGAGTTAAAAAATTACCGAGATTTTCACTCAAAAGTGAGAACCAGCTAAAATTTTCGAAATACACAACAGTCGCCTCAGTTTTTATCCTCATTCTGAATATGATATTTTCATTGCTCAAACATGGAGTTCGGATGTAGAAAATTGAGAATTACCTGCAGGTTTCCGACCTTTTCGCCTCTGATTTAGAAAAAATGAATTTTCGCAGCACAGAATGGAAAGAAAACGCAACGGATACGACGTTTTGTTCAGGGCCATCTGCCGTTTCGAATGCACTATGAAAAATGACTCCAACTCGTAACCAAAAAGAGTTGATAGAATTGTGACCGAGACAAGGTCATTTAACATTTGTATTTGCTTCTACCGAACCAGAACGATTTCAATTTATGCTTCTTGGGAAGACCATTAGGAATGCATCCTTATTACTAGATCTCTGAAAATCTCTTCGATCGTTGACAGTTCAGATCATTAAGTTATGTGATTATAAACTCTTCCTGTTTTTAATAACCACAAAACTTAATTCAATGACCTTCCAAACTATTACTGTTGTTGCTGCTGTTTAGATTACTGTTGGTGTGCCGATACTCAAAATGAAGAAAAACGCTTATTTACTAATGACACAATTGAAGGATGATGACAAAAACAAGTGTATGAAACTGATAGCTTATGCAACACATTTATTTGAAGAATAAAGAGTCTTAGGACAGGTATCGAAACTGACAACACAATGATTCAAAGAAATGTTTCAAAAAACTGAAATTTAAATTCAGCAGGTTGCAATACTCTTTACTCTCAATAGCTACATTAATTCACTCCGTCGTTTTATTGATAATATACAACTCGATTATGTTGATCAACATATACATTTAACCTTAACATTGGCATCTAGCTTTGATTAGCATCTCATATAGGTTCTATACTAATCGCATGTGGTATCGGGTGAGCAGAATAAATGAGGTTCTCATTATGTTTTTATAATTTGGTCCAGATTTGTTTCCGAGACTCGATGTTATTTTTGAAAGAGGCGCTGTGAAATAATCTACTACATCATACCTAAACTAAAATTCCAGAACTACATTCAAGGAAACTAAGCTAATTAGATGAAAGCCGACAAAAATGAAAACTTTCTTAACTCAAAATTTTTTTCGACTTGAACTTTTTCTTCTGCTACTATTTCCGCTAAAAAGTGTAGCAAAAGTGAGAACTCAGTTTATGTTTGTACTTTCGAATATGCTCTTTCTCGTGGACTGTAAAAAAATGCTTTTAGAGTAGATGGTGTGCTGGAGCACGAAGTTACAAAAATACGTCAAAAGTTGACAAACTCTCCGTTTCCAACAACGTGCTCAAGCAAGACACGGAAAACATGATTGAAATTTTGCTTTTGCAGCTAAATAGAGAAGAGCAATCATTTCTGAACAAAACAAACCCGACCGAAGAAGCTTTTAGTTTGGTGGAATTATGGAACTTTGACTGAAAGCACTACTATACCCAAAGTCCTCATTTTGTGCGGTTTTTGGCATAAAATGCTAAGAAAAATTTCTATTTACACGATTCCACGAAATAAACTTTTCCGTGTTGTAGAGCTGAATTCTATGAGAAAATTCTCTGTAAAAGGGTCACAAAAACGCTCCAGCATATTGAGAAATGCGAAAATACGTGACCCAAGTACGAAAAATCCAATATACCGTGAAATTTTGACCTGCTTAGGAGAGGTTCTCTCTAGTAAATTTTCCAACCTTAAGTTTCCAATCATAACTCTAGATAGTATCCATCGTGTACTGCATCTGCTACAAATAACGCAAAATACTAGGAGTTCAGTATGGAAAGAACTGTTCTTGTTGTGAGAACCAGGTAAAATTTTCGAAATACACAACAGTCGCCTCAGTTTTCATCCTCATTCTGAATATGATATTTTCATTGCTCAAACATGAAGTTCGGATGCAGAAAATTGAGAATTACCTGCAGGTTTCCGACCTTTTCGCCTCTGATTTAGAAAAAATGAATTTTCGCAGCACAGAATGGAAAGAAAACGCAACGGATACGACGTTTTGTTCAGGGCCATCTGCCGTTTCGAATGCACTATGAAAAATGACTCCAACTCGTAACCAAAAAGAGTTGATAGAATTGTGACCGGGACAAGGTCATTTTCGGTTCCTTCGGAAGAACTGGAGTCTCGGTGGTATCCGAACACTGTCTAAATGACATTTTCTGATTTAGTTTTTCACACTGAATACGAAGAAAAAAAGAGAAAGTTGGGGGAGGAATCGATCCCCACAATCCCCCCCGTGGCTACGTCACTGTACTTAATGCTGATTTGAGTTTATAGTTAGAAACAGTATCATTTAACGAATAAGCGTTTTTATTGCGATCTATTGTTGTTAGATTTCTTTTAGCAATTCTGTCACTCCTTCTCAATTGTTGTTGATCGTAAACGCTTTTTTAGTCACATAATGTTCGTAAAAGTAAGTTGGTTACAGGTCTACTTTCGTTACTTAAGATACAATTACTAATAGCTAATGCTAAATTAAAGATCGAGAACGGTTGTTAATAATTATTGTTTTCGATAGGAATAATTGTTAACAATTTCGGTACGGGTCTTCTACAACCCTGTAAGTAATTTGTGCGGTTACAATACGAATGTTGAAATATAGGAAGAAAGAGAGAGTTAGTCTTCTATACATGAAGAACTGTTGTCCAAAGTACAGCATCTACTTTTTCATGCAATATAAACACAAAAATGTCGCAGCTGTATTACATGTTGCTTCAAGTACTCGCCTTTTTACATAATTACAATATTTTAGTCCTTTACGGTCGGCTTAAGATTTCTATATATCTTCGCAGTTTCATATAACAGGATCTCCGTGACCGTTACACCCCTGACCCCTTAGAGTTAATAGCATTAATGCATTTCTGGTTGAACAAGACAATTAATTCGCTTGGACTAAACGGAAAACAACAGAAAAAAATTGAATGAAAAGTCCTGATAAATACAGCGTGTGACTGTTTGTTTATGAGTATTAAGTGATTGTACACACTTTTGTTGTTGTTTTTATGTCTAGCAACAGTTCTGCATGATGAGAAGGCGGCGCGGTGATTTTGGCGAATGGGAGATAAGGACAGATTTCTGTTAATTGTGTGAACAACTGATTCGGATCGTAGAATATTTGAAAATCCTGGATCATCAAGTGCTCATTGACTTTGACCACGCAGACGCCATACAGTTCGACCATATTGTGCGTTGCATCTGCCTTGTAAATTCCACCCGCTTGATTTGAACACGAAAACAAACCCGTCATACGGCCGAAGTGCCGCCATTTAAATGACACCGTCGGCGGACCCGAATAGAGTTCAATAACTTCCCAAGCAAAACCTTCGCCAAATGTCCGTTTAAATGCCAGATGGGATTCTTCGAATGTGATCAATTTCGAATTGTAATACGCAGTTTCGCCGAGTAACACGTTGTAGGTGCCTTGTCTCGATATTTCATGGCCCGTATACTTTTGGCCACCGTTGCAAGAAAATCTGTAATTGGCCAAATCGACCGTTTCCCATTGGGATGGATTCGGTTTGTGACTGACTTCCTTTTCCCAATTTTTGATGATATTCTCAACGATAAATTCGAGGGAGCCGGGTGAATGACTTTTACTCTTGTGGGCTTCGAATAATTTTCTCGCTTTCGTGTAATCGGGCTTTCCGTTACGCCATACTCCATCTTTATTACTCATAGAATCTTTTAGAACGGCATCACAATCGAGGGCATAATGGGGCAATGACATACTAAAAGAAGACAACCTGTCATCATACGTATTCCTTGTAAAGGTTGTAGGAATCGGATATGTTCAATCATCCTGTAGAGGAAAAGAGAGAGTTAGACGCCTTCTATACATCGAGAACTGCCGTCCAAAATATAGCATCTCTCTTACTTCATGGAATGTGCACATAAAAATATCACAGCCGCATTCACAACTAGGGAATTGCATTCTAGATAACTATTTGTTATGTCCATTCGCCCATTCCCATGTTATTCGCTGAATCCCTTCAGTCTAGAGGATATAAAATGATGTCCGTTTCTTTGCTGGGTACTTACTTGAGGAAATTCTCTAACGACGAAATGATATAAGTGTTTGTTATATTTCTTCATCTTGAAAATATTTCTTAGTTCCTTGTCAACTGGAAATAACTACAGTTGAATGGAATCTTGAGAACAATAAATCCTTCTAGCTTACTTCTTGACGTAGATTCTCCTCTGTGCACGGAACATAAAAAAAATTAATTAACCATTCTGGTTGTGCATTTCTCATTTCTATTGTTAATCATCAGATCGTATTTATTTCCAGTCCGCTTAAAATTATATGGTGTGACTCTCTCTTGGGATCTATCGTAAAAAGAACGAGAATATTATAAATGGCGTGACACAATAAAAGACTCTTACACATTTTGTCATTT